GCCCCTGGCATCAGCTCCTCATTTCCACCCCCTTCCTCCCCCACTTTCCCGCCTCCATGCCTCCTTGATAATTTGTAAATTATTCTGTTTTCTTTTTCAATGTCTTACACTGACTGCTGTCTCAATTCACCCACTTTTCTGCTGTCTGTCCCCCTGGGATGGGGGCCATATGTTGATCATTGTGATCGGTTCTGCCTTACTCTCCCACCGCTACCTTACCCTCATAGTATCAATGCTCCCCTTATTGGTTCTGAGGGGTTTATCTGTTCTGGATTACCTGTGTTGAGAGCTCTTATCTGAACCAGTGTACATGTTCTGGTCTAGTCAGATTGGTAAGATAGAGTTGGGGTCATGGTAGTGTATGTGGGGGGGAGCATTAAAGAACTAGAGGAAGGTTATGTTTCACTCAAGAAGTCTTCAGTGACACCCAATGGGAAGTTGCCCCTCTTCAGGATCCCCGCAGATCATGTCCCATCACACTACTTTTATTTCACTTTTTATCAAGGCAATAATCATTATGGTATTTTCTTCCCACATTAGAATGTAACTTCTAAAAGGGCAGGGAGGGACCTTGTTGATTTATTCCTAATGATTTCCAGGGCTCCCAGATCGGACTTAGCACTTAATATGTCAAAAATAGAATGAATGAAATGGTTTTTTAAATCATCAAGAGGGCTGAATGTAGAGTAAGCAGAACTCCCATACACTGCTGGAAGAAGTGCATGTTAATACAACCCCTTAGGAAAATTGGCAGTACCTGCTAACGCTGATCATCTGCATCCCGTAGGACTCGGCCACTCCAGCACAAGGAATGTGCTCCACAGAAACACATGCATAGCATCAAAAGGCATGACCAGGAATGTCCCTGGCAGCACCATGGCTAGAAAATTTGAATCAACCACAATTACCTGCAAAAACGTGGGAGCAACCTCACAAGCTGAAGTTGAGCTCAAGAAATAAGACACCCAAAGATTGGGAACTCTATTCCTTCTACTTACATCATGTTCAAAAGCAAGCAAAAGTAATCCGTGGTGTTAGACATCAGAAGGGTGGGCAGTCTAGCTAAGGGAAAGGAGCATGGCTTCTGGAATGTGCAAGTAATGCTTGCTTTGCAGTCTGGATATTGTTTCCATGGGTATAGTATATATATATTCCATGTGTATTTTCTGTGAGGAAAATCATTATGCTCTGTATACTTCCTGAGGTACGAACAGCTCAAAAACATCAAGCATTCTTCTAAAGCAGCAGCATAAGAAAATCTGAGTCTCTCCTACCCCCTCTTACCAGGCCACCACTTCATCACATCCACCTCCAGCAGAGGGGTGCCCCTGGTGGCTGGGGTGGGAAGGCAGCCTGACTCTGGGCCCGGCAAAGGTGCTGGCTTCTCGTAGACACCCACCAACAGGCTCTGAGTGTCACAGAAACTGGAAATCTGGAAGATACAGACCACCCAGCCCAGAGGCCACACCCAAGAGGCAGCTAACTGAGGTGCCGTTAAAAACAATAATAAACTCCAAAGAAACTCACTGTCCTAGGACCCTATAGAAATGCTCCCTCAGATTTCCGAGGCTGTAAATCTTTACAGTGGCAGACAGTCTCATCGTTCTCTTTACTGAGCCAATTCTGCAGAAAGCCGGGCCAAATTCTTTCCTATCTCATGACCTCACAGTAATCCTGGAACAATGCAGGTATACACAGCAGATGCTCTCAATGTTTGCTGAATGAAAGGTCCCATGATCCCATCCAATGTTACACAGGATGCTAACGCCAGAGTCCAGTGTCTGTGCTCCCAACCACTTCGCCGGACAGTGGAACTGGCACGAAGGCCTGGCTGAGAGCGCTTACTCCTGGTGTGCTTGCTATATTAGGTTACGTTGCCCAAGCCACCAAGAGGGCAGCAAAATCTCAATTTCCGTACCTGCAAAAGGGGGATAATATATTAAACACCAATTGGGTGGCGGGAACTATTGGAGGATTGTTGAGGATTAAGTGAGGAAAATGCATAAAGGTAAAATTCACTCCCTCGTGCCTCTGCAGTTATTTGTAGGAGGCAATGATATGTGAGAGGCACACACATCACCGATACCGAGTCAATGCTGACTCATAGCGACCCTTGTGAGACAGACAGACACACACACACACACACACACAGACTGACCCTATAGGACAGAGTAAAACTGCCCCTGTGAGAGACCGTATCTATCTCTCTGTGCGTTGTGCATGTGTATGAATGTTGCAGAACCCATATAATTCACACAAAACTTTACATTCAAATTGGGGGGATTCATACACCTAAAACAAAAAACTTAAACTCGCTTCCAGCGAGTCGTTGACTCAGTGTCCTTGATGGGAGTAGAAAGCCTCGTCTTTCTCCAGTGGAGCGGCTGGTGGTTTGGAACTATGGACCAGCAGCTGGAAGCATATCCCACTACACCACCAGGGCTCCTCCCCCTACTATTTGCCAAGGGGCTTGGCCAACAAGGCTCTCCACTGGCATTTACCTAACAAAACGGAAAAAACAAACCCAAATCCACTGTCATGCTGACTTAAGGGGAAGCTAAGTAGGTAAATCACCCACCCTTCTTCTCAGGAGCAGCTGTGGGTTTGAACCTCTGCCCTTGTGGTTAATCATACCATTATCCATTTCTGAGACCAGGCTGAAACTCCCGTATCTTATCATTACAGCCCAGGGGGGAAAAAAAACAGGGGTGTGGGGGGGATGACAAGTGTTTTCTCTCCTGGGGGTGGGGGAGGGGATGTGGCTGGGAACCTAGCAGTTAAAGGCAGCCCATCTAGGAGCCTGGCTATCAAAAGATACAGCGTCTGAGGTCTTAGAGGCTTGAAGATAAACAAGCGGCCATCTGCAGGGAAGCAACAAAGCCCACATGGAAGAAGCACACCAGCCTGTGTGATCACAAGGTGTCAATAGGATCAGTTATCAGGCATCATCAGAACAAAAAATCATATCATTGTGAATGAGGGGGAGTGCAGAATGGAGACCCAAAGCCCATCTGTAGGCAATTGGACATCTCCGTACGGAAGGGTTGCGGGGAGGAGACGAGCCAGTCAGGGTGCAGTGTAGCTACGATGAAACATACAACTTTCTTCTAGTTCCGAAATGCTTCCTCCCCCACCCACTATCATGATCCCAATTCTACCTTGCAAGTCTGGCTAGTCCAGAGTGTGTACACTGGTACAGATAGGAACTGGAAACATAGGGAATCCAGGGTGGATGATCCCTTCAGGACCAGTGGTGTGAGTGGTGATACTGGGAGCGTAGAGGGAAGGTGGGTTGGAAAGAGGGAACACGGACCTACGTATATCCTCCTCCCTGGGGGACGAACAGAAAAGAGGGTGAAGGGAGATGTCAGACAGTGTAAGATATGACAAAATAATAATTTATAAATTATCAAGGGTTAATGAGGGAGGGGGGAGCGGAAAAATGAGGACCTGATGCCAGGGGCTTACGTGGAGAGCAAATGTTTTGAGAATGATGAAGGCAATGAATGTACAAATGTCCTTTACACAGTTGATGTGTGTATGGATTGTGATTAAGAGTTTTATGAGCTCCCAATAAAGTGATTAAAAAAAAAAGGCAGCCCATCTATTGAAAGTCCTGGCGAGGAACCTGGCCGCTTAGCCACCAAAGGCAAACTAGAATGGGGTGAGTTGATGCTGTTCCAACTTCCCTGCTCACAGGAGGAAGCAGATGCAAATGCCTTCATTGCAAGGACGAGGCAGGGGGCAGGGATGGATGCGATCCTTCAGGAAGGACCCCGCTGCCATTGGCTTGCGGATTCCCCAGAGGGAGGTCTTGGTAGCAGCATCTTAGAAACTGGGAAACTGAACCCTTCTTGCCGGTTTGAAACCAAAGTCCTGCCATCGAGTCGATGCCGACTCACGGCGACCGTCGAGGACAGTGGAACTGCTCCCGTGAGTTTCCGAGACTCCCTTCACTAGAGTCGAACTCCTGTCCTCTTCCTGCGGAGCAGTCGGGGGCTTCGCACTGCTGCCCACGTGTAACCACCACGCGACCAGCGCTCCAGGCTTGAGGCAACGCGCGGTAACTGCGGAGCGGAGCGAAGCCGAGCCTGGGAGCCTACAGACCAGCACCCACAGGTTCTCCCTCGGTCAGCCGCCTGCCCGCGGACTTACCGGCGACTGGCGCTTCCGCAGGCTGGGCGTCAGCCCTCGGTTCCCAATTCCAACACCGCCTCGCGGCCGCAGGTCCCGAAACTGCAGCAATTCGAACTCGCTCCACCGAGACGCCCTCCTCTTACAGGAAGGAAGCGCCAGTCAGAAGGCAAGGAGTGGGGGAGAAAAGAAAATTTCGCGCCAAACAGCGTAGCACCGCCCACAGGCTGTCACCGCGTGAACCACCAATCAGATCGCTCGCCCCACCCCCGGGGACGCGACGCATTACGCAGGCGAAACAAGCAGCGGCCTTCAGCGATTCGGGCGGCGTGACCGTGCGCGGCCGGAAGTCCCTTCCGTGACGCATTTCCGGGTTCAAAATGGTCGACTCGGCGGCTTAGTGAGACTTCCTCCACCTTGTTCGATCGCTTCCGAGTGTGTGTTTTGGGGCTTTGTTTCGTTTCGTGTTGTTTTCCACCTGGATGTGACGCACGAAGGACCCGACGGGTCTAGAGCCGGAGGCTTCCCAAGATGGCGAACCGTACGGTGAAGGATGCCCACAGCATCCACGGCACCAACCCGCAGTATCTGGTGGAGAAGATCATTCGGACGCGCATCTACGAGTCCAAGTACTGGAAGGAGGAATGCTTTGGGCTTACAGGTGAGCGGACGCGCCGGCGCCTCCGCCCGGCTCCGACCGACGGGGCGCTGGACGGCCGAGTGTGGTGGGAGGAGTTGATGCGTGCGTGGCTGGAACCCCTCAGCGGCTCCACGGAAGAAAGGACCTGGCGATTTGCTCCCGTAAAGATTTCCGCCCACGCGGCAGCTGCACTTTGCCCTGTAGGGTCGCCTTGAATCAACATAGACGCGAAGGCACCCACCACCACCACCACCACCACCACCACCAAGTCTGTTAGGCGGGCAGCGGTGGTTCCTTAGAGAAAATGACTGCGGTCGCTGTGAAGTCACCGGTAACCTCCCTTTTTAGCGTTAACGAGGTGTTGCTTAAGAAGTTAGACTGAAAAGTCTTTTAGCATAGATTCTCTGTTGAGAGGCACACACATCACCGATACCGAGTCAATGCTGACTCATAGCGACCCTTGTGAGACAGACAGACACACACACACACACACACACACACACACACACAGACTGACCCTATAGGACAGAGTAAAACTGCCCCTGTGAGAGACCGTATCTATCTCTCTGTGCGTTGTGCATGTGTATGAATGTTGCAGAACCCATATAATTCACACAAAACTTTACATTCAAATTGGGGGGATTCATACACCTAAAACAAAAAACTTAAACTCGCTTCCAGCGAGTCGTTGACTCAGTGTCCTTGATGGGAGTAGAAAGCCTCGTCTTTCTCCAGTGGAGCGGCTGGTGGTTTGGAACTATGGACCAGCAGCTGGAAGCATATCCCACTACACCACCAGGGCTCCTCCCCCTACTATTTGCCAAGGGGCTTGGCCAACAAGGCTCTCCACTGGCATTTACCTAACAAAACGGAAAAAACAAACCCAAATCCACTGTCATGCTGACTTAAGGGGAAGCTAAGTAGGTAAATCACCCACCCTTCTTCTCAGGAGCAGCTGTGGGTTTGAACCTCTGCCCTTGTGGTTAATCATACCATTATCCATTTCTGAGACCAGGCTGAAACTCCCGTATCTTATCATTACAGCCCAGGGGG